CATCAGTTCCAGTTGACCCTGTGAAGCATTGTCTAGACCAGATCTCAAGAGTCAAAGCTACCTTTTTCAGGTTGTGCATCCCTCACCTGAACCATGCCTTGGCTGCTGCTGCCATGGCCAAATTCTCATAGCAACCAACTATCTGACTGATGATTTTGCATGATTCTGCAAGAGCGCAACCAAGGACACGACCGTTTCGCAGTGCTCCTTTCCACCAGAGTCCAGCAAGCTCCAGACATACTCCAAGGATTGATCCTGGCACCAGAGAAGCAGTCCAGACCACAACCAGGCCTGACTATGGTCACAGGAAACAGAAACTGTACCACGCAGTCAGGGAAGAAACGCAGCCGATAGTGGAGAGATCAATTATGTTAATGCGAACAGCTTCTCAACCGCAGAGATTTGCTGAAAGCAATTGGGATCGTTTGGTGCCAGGCAAGATTGTCTTTGACTGTGTGGCGATCAACTTATGCGTTATTGCCGCCGCAGGTACTTGTTTTGAGCCTCTCTCCCAGCATGGTCACGCTCTGTGCTGAAAGGGCGTCCAAAACATAAACGCAGTCAGGGTCCAGTCAGGCTCTGCTGTTTAGGCGCTCGATTCCTGGGATGCGCCTGCACAACCTGCAAACATTTGCTTAAACTCCCCAGACCTGAGCCGATGTTTCGGAGAAAGTCCAGAAGGTGAATTACAAACTCAGCATTGCACGCACATGCAACAACAAAGGAAACAACTTCGCGCAGGAGTTACCATGGTGCTTGTGAGGGGGAATCCTGCACCTCGTTGAGTGCTCAACCAGACTAAACTACACTCAATATGCCTTCTGTCCCGACTCGTGCTAAGATTTGTCTCTATCACATGTGCTCCAAGTAGCAGCAACACGATCACCAGCGTCCTCGTAGCAATGAGGCTACGAACAAGGCTTGGTCGACATGACAAAATGAGTGATACCGAGTGATGTAGCATCCTCTTCAGCGAGCCAGTCGCGATGGTTATCAAATATTATCAACAATGAAGGAGTACTGCAACAGGTAGCAGTATAGTAGCCCAACGATTATTTGCGATGATTATTTGCCGCCTCAAATCTCTACTCAGCTTCTTTCCTTTCCCATAACAGCCCTAGCGGCACCTCGGTTTCGAGAATCCGGACCTCGAAGGCATCGCCCAGGGGGAGCCTTGATTCGAATTGGTACTGTAACATTCCTCCAGCAAGAAACTATCCCATCCCAAGTGAAGCTCCTACAGTACACAGCTGCATTACGAAAAGAAAAAAAAAAAAGGTTTCCATAAGGCCTGTGTCATTCATGTGAAGCCTCTTAGCTGCGTAATGCTGCGGAGTGGATTGTAACTACTTGTTCTGACAGCAACGTCAAGCGGATTCCTCTCTGCCCCACCAGAATGCAACTGGACGAATCTAAGAAGATCTGATCAACACAACGGAACGCGGCCGAAGTGCCCACCATCGCCTAGGCCACCGTAGATGAGGACCTCCAACAGTCTTAAGCCGCTTTCTCAGCTTCTGGTGTTTGTGTAGGATGCTTCGCTATCCAGTCGAAGATCAGCTTGAGAATTTTTGGATAGCTATACGACGCAGTACCTGTACATACCTGTGCAGCAGCTCACAAAGTTGTTACGAAGTGTATACGGACTCTGAGATTGACAAGAAACTTCTTCCAGAATGAGGCCCCCTGCCGCAGGCGTCTCTCCAGGGGCAGTAGGTACCTCTGCAACTCCACCATCTACGATGCCTGAATAGTTCCAGACAGACTCCTCTCCCTCGCAGAAGCTTGTTCAACTATTTGTAAAAGGCTGTGAAGGAGAGACCCGAACACACCACACAGCAGTGTCAATGGAATTTTCTGGAACCTTTAGCATGGGGACAAAGAGTTACATGCAGGACAGGCTCCACAGTGTGACGACGATACAAGCAGTGCCTGCAGCACGGCGCTGTGACCGGCTCGTGGCCTGGTCCACAGTTTGGATGCTTGTCTACTATAGGATTCGCATATGATGACATTCCATGTTGCAGGTGTGTACGTTGTGTTTAAGACTAGGGCTTCGCTACATGGACCCTCTTTAGAACGAGACCTGCAAGCAGACTAACCTCCGTTGACGCCAAACTGGCAAGAGATGTGCGCCTTGGTGACGCGGAGGCCTCCAATACCTGGTTGCAACAGACAAACGTAAAAGGAAAGCAGTCAATCTACACAAATTGGGCTGCAATCGTGTAACAACGCCTCATCATGCTAGGAACAATTGCGTAATCGTCCGCCATCCCCAGCATGATACGGGGTTGTGCGTAAACTTACTCAAGTCTCGCTGAACCTGTTGCTTGTGCAAAACTCCAAACGTGTGCACAGCACAGCACTCTCAAGTATCCAAAGAATGTTTAGCCAGGCAATGGATTTTACTGCCTTACACGAACTGACAACACCCATGATCGTGTGGCCAAGCAGCCATGCTTTCTCTTAGGCTCTACGAGCAACATGTTTTCGTCAGTGTGCGAACACGATTAGGTGCAGACAGAAGGATTCGCGCAACTGGCCCAGGTGTTATGGATTTCTTTCCTTCTACGCAAAAGACATTTGCTTAGCGTGTTGGAACGTTGAGTTTCTGCTGATTGACAAAGCTTCGCGAATCCTTGCACAGACTTTGCCCTTGCCAAATCTGCTAAGCCGCTAAGCCCGCCAAGGATGTAACTATTCTGACTCTCGTTAATCCGTCCAGGTGCATTGCGCAAGGCTTACCTACAGTTGCGCCGCAATCCCAGGCCTGCGGCTGGCGCCACCGGGCTCCTTCGAAGGGCGAGCTGCCTCCACCTTGACAGTAGCCAGCCAAACATAGTGAAGCTAAGTCTTCAAACAGGAAAGCGGGTGAGGGCGGTCTGAGGGGATGTGCTCGCATCCCACTCTACAGCGCACGGACTAGACATGGAGAGCAAGAACTGCCGATGGCCTTTTGCATTGCCTGACTGGATCCAGACACACCATGTGAGAAAGCGATGCGTATTCTTTAAGAGTGCGCACTCCGATGTTCAATTTGCAATGTCTCAAAGTACAAGCCCAAAGCACATGCCGACTGAAAGCCCCTTTACGGACAGAATAGAACATCTGTGAGGGTACGTTATGAGACAATAGGGACCTATAGTCCCTTCAAGTTGTCTCAGAGACCAGAACCTTCGGTTGCATGATGGCCCGGCGGCCTCCCACGCGTTCGGAACTCGCGGCTTCCTCTGCAAAGAGTTGGGATTCAAGTTTGGCAGTTTGAGGCCACAAACCCTGAATTTTAACAAGGCTCCTAGATAGGAAAAAAAACACGGTTGTCAATCGGTACGCCCCGTACCGTGTGGCGTAAGTACGACCCTTGCAGGACCCCGCTGAGGCCCTCGGCTGTGCCAATTCGTCGCGTCATGGTCACCTGGCGCAAGCACAGCTGCGACGGACAGCTTCTGCCCTCACTCCACAGGGGTTTAGGGAACCATGACCCTAGGGATTCCCTTATAATGGAGAATCAAATGGAAAAGAAAATGGAAAATGAAATGGAAACTGGGTATATATAGGGGATATAAGTCTACATTAGGGGTCCTATTAAGGGCTATATTTTTAGTCTCCAAAGAGCGGAAGGCCCCTGAGCACTACGGCTGCCTGAGCGGAGCCCATCTTGGCCAGCACGTCCTTTGTTGTGCAGGGCATCGCGCGCCGAGGTTGGCTCCTGGCAACTTGACAAATCCTTTGAAGATCCTGCAAAATGCAAGCCATCACACCACTACAACGGAAACTGATGTCAGCAAGGACTAAGTGATGCGCTTCCCATCTCTTCACCATCCCAAACCCTCCTGGCCATACGTGGCGAGGCTTCGTCGTCCGAGGACTCTGCTTCAAATCCTGCCATCATGTCAGACAGGACTTCAAGGCTCATGAGAAATTACTTTATAACTTAGATCTAACTAGGATAGCGTATACTACAGGGATCACCCAGGTTGGGGACTTGTAAAACCCTACTTATAACCACCCATAAACCTCCAAATAACGGGGAACTCACCATCTTGAGATCTCTGTCGCAGAGGTGTTCACGCCACAATCACAACTCTGGTCACTGAATTTCTTGTCTCCGGCCAAGATTGCAAATGACTGTCCTCTTCATTTAAGTGTAGAAGACCTTGACACAATAATTGTACGGCACAGCATTTTTTGCTGGCAGTTCCCCATGCCGAACAACGCTCAGCCCTGAACCGTAGGTTTGCGCGGCATACGCTTGCGACTTGCAAAGGATGCAAAGGCTTTTCAGGGGCTAGATTAGCAAACAAAGGCTGTCCATTCTCTTTAGGAGGCTATGGGGATATGTGCTTCCTGCTTGATTCTTCCAGTCTATAACATCCCCAAACGTGCAGGCTCGCCTCTGCGTCTGGACGAAGCCGCTGCGGCCTGCTGCGTCCAATGAGCTGACTCGCTGAACTTTTAGTGCGGAAGCTGTTGTGGATCAGGACACCGTCACAAACCTGTCTTCAAAGAAATTCAGCCTGTCCTTCAAGACTTCAGATATGACAAATATGAGTGCCGAGTACATTGCAAAGTTGCATCCCAGCAGCCTCGGTTGTGAGAAGCGCAGCCGCGCTCAAGGCTGACTTGGCGTACAGAAGCAGTGTTGGAAACAAGTTAAACCCTGCAGATGAGAACTTTTTGCAGCCCGCCACACTTGAAAAGGGGCCTGTGACCCAGTTGTTGGACGATTAACCATTGTCTTCAGCATGCAGTTGCGCACCAGCAACAAGAAATGTTTTAACCTGTGAAGTGGAAGGCAGGTTCTGCAGGACAGGAGACTGGATCTGTCCTTCTTGCAGGCCATTCAGGCTGCTCCCTGTCTTTCGAAGTCCATAGTTCCGCACATTTACACAGGGAACATGTGTCAGAGGAATAGCTGGGGCAACTCTTTGGTCCAGAGCCTGATTCTCTTTTGGAAGTACCTGCATGCTTCCAGCTCGTTTGCATCCTTGGCTCTTGGCCCCACAGGCCGCCCGGTAGTTGGCAGCAAAAAAGATGTCCTCGTCCTCCAGGACGGCACATCTATAGGCATTCTACATGCATGTAGAGATGAAAAGAGTCTAACCTGAACAGAACGCCCCATTCCCTTCTGTCTAGCATGAAGCGGGAGCCCATACGAGTTGCGGCTGTTGGCTTGATCAAAACGGCCTACTGCAACTCCAGAATGGTGGTCTAGATGGCATGCACAAAGTCTGAACTGCGAGCACAGCTTGAATTGCATTTCTGGGCTATCCAGTTGCAGAACCTTCAAACTCTTGTGATCTGATTTCCATCCGCCTCACTTTCGGAGCCAGAGTCAGCGTCGGCTTTCCTGGCACAATCAGCAAACGCTTGCGACAGATCTTGATTGGGGTCGTTGCGCTTGCTTCTGGTCGGATCCCTGGGTGAAGGAATGACGATAAGCCCAGTTGTGTGAGGTGTCAGCGAAAAAGCCGGCATGCCATACCAATGCCAGACCCATGAGGACTCATAAAGAAGGTACCGCAGTGGCAGCGGCAACAGTCATCACCAAAACTGGCCTTCGCTGCGTTAGCTACGTGTCACTACTGCTCACATCGAATCGTCAATCATCACGAATTTATGCAGCCGCGAAAACCCCAAACCGTGAGCATGAGACGCTTAAGCAGACGCCACAACCCAAACCAGGAAGCAGAATTGAAATCGTCAGTATATCAGGCCTTGTGATCTGAGCTTCCTTGCTTGCAGCGGTGTTCGCTGAAGGGCTCTGCAGCTGGATCACGTGGAGATCTGCCAGGCCTCCCATTGCACTTGAGAGGGTTGACGTGAAAGGGCACAGGACAACTCGAAGAGACAGGGGAATGTGCTCGAAAGATGACTCTAATGGAATCCTCCATAAGTTCTTAATTTTTGTGCAAGCATGTCCCACATGCAATACTGCATTCTCGCCTTCAGAGGACCCTGTTTGTCTCTTGCTTTGACTGCTGCCTCCAATTGCTGCTCCCCTTCCTGCCGGCTACATCTACATCACCCCGCTCCAAACGCTTCTCCCTCGCAAGCATTATCAAAATAACTTCTCCGTATGGTATTTGACCCCTTCAATGGGGGATCGGGATCCCCGAATCCCTTCTGCAGCCAGGCTGCATCGGCCGGATCCGGCACGCCCAGTGTGGCCGCCAAACAGAAGAAGGCGACCACCGGTCTGGCACACGGCTTCGAACTTACTGCACAACACTGCTGCATGCTTTACTCTATGCTTCGTCTTATGGCTCATCTAAAGTAAAGCTACCAGGCACTTTCGCAGCGTTTGGTGTTACCAGACGCGTACGTAGGCCACGATTCCGGCCTTGCGATTCCGCGCGAATTCCAATGGTGCTGCTCACCAATACACATGCAGGCACATGCATATACTTATGCACTTGCATCCCATGCGAACAAAAATGTGCAGTGTCTCTAAGCCCCCGGAGCTTCCCCAAAAACCGTTCAACACCTTCTGCCATCGAAAACCTGTTCTGCGTATCTAACGTCTATCTCCTGAATTCGCAGATCGCCAGTGCTGACAACACAAGGCAATTTTGCATTCTGTTTCTATTGAGCGGTTGCGTGGTCTGAAAAGTTGAAGGCTGGAGGCCCGCAAATTCTACCTCCTTACCAATCTCCGCCTTTGATGACCAAGACTAAATCACCAAGTCAAATGTCTGCCTGGTCCAGCGGCGTCAGGCTGTAGCCGAAGCGCGGTCGCGGGGGAAACGCGAGGACGGAGCGCTCGAAGCCGCCCTGAAAGGGCAAAATTTTCAAGTCAAGTATTATAATAACCCATTATAACCCTATATATACCCCATAATAATCCC